GAATCTTTTTTGCTAAATAATTTTTATTTTTTCAAAAAATCAAGTACTAAATTTTCTATTATTAATGTATTAATATGCTCTATATATAATAATATAATTGTAGCAATAATATATAATGTGTATAATATAATTAGAGTTCTTTACAATAGTTTTCCACATCACCCGTGAGGTACTATTGTTGACGCGTTTTTTTTAAAGTGGTTTCCCCAGTAGGCCTATTGAATAGGCCTGGAAAACTATTGTAAAGAACTCTAATTATATTATACACATTATATATTATTGCTACAATTATATTATATACACGTAATACACATTTATTTTTCGTTTTAAGAAGATTTCTTATACGTTGATTAATTGTGTTAAAAATGAACGTCAATGGATAATCGTTATTTAAAAATGTTAATAATAAAAGTTAAATTTTTCTTATGAAAAGTAAAGTCCGAAAGTAAAAAAGCTCTGTCGACTAACGAAAAATAAATGTGTATTACGTGAAGATTTAGTTGACAATGTCTGCACTATTGAATCGGCATCGTGGCTTACTGTACCATTTATTCCTCTTCACACAGAGAAATTTAAGCGGCTCAACAATAACGACATCAGGGTGTCATTTCGTAGTCCTAATAAGATAGGAAAATATATCAAGGTTCAAAAGGATAAGTGCTCCCCCACATCAAAAAGAAATGTAGTTTATAAGATCTCGTGCAACAATTGTGATGCATCATACGTGAGCCAGACGGGCAGGCAATTGAAAACCAGAATTGCGGAGCATCGTAACCACGTCAAATATAATACATCCACTCGATCGGTCATAAACTGAGCATAGATTACAGTATGACCTTGACTTTCAATGGGACAACGTAAGAGTTTTGGATGAAGAACCTTGCTACAGAAAACGCCTAACTTCCGAGATGCTCAACATTAAAAAGCAGACCGTTAGTTTGAATTTACAAACTGACACGGAAGGTCTCCACAAGGCATATATACCTATTATAAATAAACTTTGACTCTTTCTTACTGACAATCCGTCTCCTTTCTCAGTATGTGTCGATCTGTATCGACGATCGTATGTGTGAGAGAGTATATTTTAATTGTCGCACAATATTCTCTTTGTACCTACGAATGGCTTATACCATACACAACCGTTTTTCTCCGAATAATTTTAAAGTAATTTACACATGGCCTTTGGTAAGTTTTTATTTGTTAGAATTTATATGTTTATATTTTATAATAAGACTTCATATTGTATTTAGATATTCAAGAGACACTGTTAACGAATGGTGTGTGAACGTGCTTAGAGTTTTACATCCGAACAGTTATAATATGCGTTTTTTTTGCATTATTGTATATTGAATTTATGTTAAATTGTATCTGAAGAGGGCTCAATCGTGCAGCCGAAACTTGTTTAGAATTTCTGTTATTTATTTGATACTTAATTTATTTGATTAAATGTTATATTTATATTCAGACGGAATCTAACTTAATTTTTTATGCTTTTACCAATTTTCAAACTATATTTTAAACGTATTGACTCTTACTTTGCCCTTTAGTTATTGTTTTTTATTAATTACATTATATTATAATTTATAATTCTTATGACAATACACTACAATACACTTTTCTAAATTTTCAATTTGAAATTTGTGACGCTTATCACTTAATATCAGTTTGTAGGCCGAAAATGACCGCTCCACATCTACTGATGTCAAAGGACAAAATTTGAAAATTTGGCGTTTTATACAAAAATATGCACTTTCAATAAAAAAATTATTATTATATGCAAAATGCTGCGAACAGCCCATTATATGCATTTTGCATATGCAAATGCATATAATCCGATGTCTAGTTATTAATATACAAAAAAATTTTTGAACTCTAATTTTTCATACTTCTGTACACACAAAGAAAAGTAACTTTATTGTAATATTATTGAGTATTTATCTCATTGATGGTGATTGGTGATACATAAATGTATATTTAGAAGAAATGTCAAGCAAAATTTTAAACTAAAAAGTATTTTGATGTAAGAGGACGGGAAAGTAAAATATCAATTCTCTTATCACACACATACAATTTATTAATACAAAAATTTCACATAGAGATCAAATATAAACACGCAAACGTCGCAGAGTTAAGTGAACAAGTATTGATCTTAATTTATTCATATACTATAACTATATCTGATAAACGCATTAGAATACTTCGTGAGAAAGCATTGACTTCTTACGAGAAATTACTTATCGAGATATGTACAAAACGCGTGTATACATTGCACGTGAATATTTTTACACAATATATCCTAAACAACTAACTGCCACATTTAGAATTCTACATTTTTTAATGATGTGTCTTTCATGAATAATATTTTATATGCGAGATATGAACTTCAGTTAATAAATATAAAATAGCATATTGCGTTATACAATCAGAATATTGCATACAAGTCCCGCAACCATCCCCAATATCAAATATTAGTAATTGAAAATAATGATACTGAATGATAATTCTATGAAAATTGGAAATTATTTACTTTTAGAAATATATTTCCTTTTATGTATGTTTTGTTTCATTTTATATTTAGTGATAACGAAAGCTACCCAGATAGCAAAGCGTGTCTCAGCAAAATCACACAAATCTGTGATTGCTTATGATGTTGGCAACTTGCCATAGATTTGTCTTCAACGATTTCGAATATACCGACATTGTAGCAACATGCAGGCAACAATGTGTATATGTATTGCCAGCAGTTTAACAGCAAGATAGCTGCATCAATGTTATCTTATGTTGTCGGCAATATGAAAGCATTGCATGATGCTGCATATTATTATGGCAACATGATGGCAGTAATGCGAATTTTAATGATGACGATTTTAAAGTTGTTGGTAAACTGCTGGCAAGTTGCTACTCAAAGTTATCATATCATGAAGGCATCAAGTTGTCAATAATTGAGGACTCAGTTGCTGCAATTCTTGGTAGCAACACATGCTTAGCAATGCATACTTAGCAAGCAACATGCCAGCAACAAGATAAACACGTTGCTATCTGGGTAATTAATCTTACATGATATTAACAAAAATAAATAATACCCCAATTCTATAATGAAAATATGTTCTTGTACTCGATTCACACATTGCAAAGTTACTCACATTTGTCAATAATTATTAATAGACTCACTATCATAACCAGTGTTGGGTAGTCTAATTAAAACGTTAAAAGTTACAAAAAAAGTTAAAAAGTTAATAACTTTTAACTTAACTTAGTTAATTTTAAATGCATTAAATTTTAACTTAACTAAGTTACTTTTAAACCTTAACTTTTTAACTTTTTTTTAAGTTAAAAATTTTTTTTCTCTCTTTTAGATGCCTTAGAAAAATAATAAAATATAATAAGACTAAGGGCGTATATTCGTAATCCATTCATATATATTTTAAGACCAGCTTAAGTAATTTCTTAAGATGCTAATACAGCCCTTTGATTGGCTTATGCCTTATGCAATAAGCCTTAGTCCGGATCTACAATAGGTGTTTTAAGTCATAAGAAATTACAATTGAATGCGAGGAAAATATTTGACTGTAATTGGTCCATTTTTTATGGGGCTTAAGACTTATTAAAAAGTAAAAACCTAAAAAGTTATGTTATATCATAAGTGAATAAAAAAATTAAAAATTTAATTTACTTAATAATCTATATTGTAGTTGTTATTTTATCTCATTTTAAGAAAAATTAGGACATTTTGATCTCAAAAATAATTCTTTTCAGAACTAATTTTTTTTAAATTTAAGTTAATTCAATATTAACTTAACGTTCGTTAAGTTAATTTTTTATTCCTTCAACTTTTAACTTAACTTTATTAATTTTGTAAAGCCATTAACTTTAACTTTATTCAATTAAAAAAAAAACATTAACTTACCCAACCCTGATCATAACTATTACTGACTAAGAATTGCGTAATGGCAGTTTGACAATAATTCATCCAAGACGACTGCTGAAGATCTATTATTAAATTTTTAATCAAGATCTTCCGTAGCCATGTTGTTAAATATCATTAATAAAGTATTGTAAATTATTGGACAATACATATATTGCACTAGCAAAAATAACTTTTTGCATTAGAATAAGCAAAAAATTTAATTAGAATATTATTTTAGGAATGTTTTATAACTTATAAAAAGATATTTAAACAAACATCATACACACATATTGTATTAATCATTCATTTAAATATGCAATTACTCTAATATATTTACTTTTAATAATCCATCATCATTAATTTGCTAATATTGTAATTTTGCTAATTCTTACTGTATATTATTCCAAATTTTTATCAAAAATGGCAATAATTAATTTAAAAAATATATGTTTTCTATAGACATTATTATGACAAATTTGCAACTCGTATTTACTAAGAGTGTAGAATATAAGAAATATCATCAAGCAATTAAAAGAAGTGTAACATTCTGGCAGAAAGATTAAAATCTTCGGTCGGTATTTGCCATCGATCGTTCCAGTCAATTTTGTCTTTGTACGACAAATGCGAACACATTGGAAGACGTGTCACACGTTCGCATCTTCTGGAGACCGACCAATAAACAAAGTTTTTGGGACATTTATAAAGGTATCCCTGTAAACTGTTTCGGACATCGCGTTTACACTTGTAAAAGGTATTGCTGCAACCTTGTCGATAAGGAAAATGTCCTTCTTGCGGACAAAGCTGATTTGACGATACCTTTACCTAAAATTGAAAAAACATTTTGCAATGAATATTTTTGTTATAAGTTTATTTAGTTGATTATTCAAAATACTTACAGGTGATAAAGCATGATCTTCTAATCTTCTATAAAATCTGGCGTTTGTTCTGGTTCCCATGCATGGCTGACTGCTTTCACTTTCAGGTAGACATTGAATCTCTTTCTCATCAAAAATGGTATTTTCGGGACAACTCAATACGAGAATCTTTATTTCCATGTTGCCTTCGGAAGTACATTGATAGAATAAATTACAATGTTTCGGATGCCTTCGGAAGCTAGTGGGACAAACTAGAATTATTTGATCGTCAGTTAAGTTGCCTATAGAACAAGGTGCTGCTACTCCTTGTTCCGCTGTTGTCGATTCCGATGATTCAGTTGTTGCTTGTTCTTGAGATTCTGTCGTGGATTGTTCCTGTAATTCGGTTGTTGATTGTTCGTGAGTTTCTGTAGTAGATGGTTCTTTTGACTCTGTTGTTGATTGCTCTTGGGATTCTTCAGTTGTCGATTGTTCCTGAAATTCCGTAGACTGTTCTTGAGACTCAGTCGTAGACATTCCGGATTCTGTGGAAGCAGCAGCTTCAGTTGTAGCTTCGCTACTCTGTTCAGAAGTGCTAGACTCGATAGCGGTTTCTGTAGTGGTAGTGGTTGATTCAGTCGTAGACTCTATCATACTTTCGCTACTCTCTGGTACATTTGATGTCGTCGATTCTATAGAAGTGGGAGCGTTTTCTTCTGAAGTATCAAGCTCTGTCGTTGTGGTTGTACTTTCTTCTGTTTGCTGAGTTATGCTCTGTGCAGTTACAGTAGTAGTTCCCTCTGATGTCGATTGTTCAGGCGTTCCGGATTGAGTTGTGGATTCTATATTGCTTGAAGTATTTCCAGTCGTACAATCTTTTGCGGGGTAAACAGATTCAGGATAATTACATACGTTGATGCTAGAATCAAAAATAGTGCCTGATGGGCAGTCAAAATGATATACATTGAAACCATTGCCATTATTAACGCAGCGATAGAATTTATCGCACCTAGCGGGATGCGGATAAAATCCTTCATTATTGCATATTATTGCATTGCTCGGCTTTTGTGTCGCACAATCTGGTGCATGTGACTCTGATGTAGATGAAGATGATCCTTCATTTGATTCAGAAGTAGATTCAGACGAGGATTCGGATGAACTTTCTGTACTAGAACTACCAGGCATTTGAATCTCTTCTGGTTTTTCTGAAGCGGGGTTTTCGCTACTGCTAACAGGTGTGATAGTACTTGTTGTTGATGATGACTCTGTTTTGTCTGATGTTTCACTTGGAGTACTGGCAGTTGTAGTGGTTTCGGTAGAAATTGGAATTGAAGATGTAGTCGCAATTGTTTGACTAGAAACAGTTGTGGAACTATTCATGGTAGGAAGTTCAGATGTAGAAGTACTGGAACCAAGACTTTGATCAATTTCATTGCTATCTGTTGAACATGAAGTTACTTTATCAATATGATTACACGTTTGTATTAATTGATCCCATGCTGTGCCAGGACCGCACTCAAATTCGTATTTTTGATATCCGAATTGGTCTTGAACACAACGATAGAATTTTTTGCAGTTATCAGGATCCGGAAAGAAACCTTCTTTAGTACACTTATATTTTTCATTCTGAGGCGAAGATGCGGTTGACGAGGCAGAACTTGGCAAAGTAATTGTTGTAGTACTAGTATCAGGTGGCAAATATGAAACAGATTCGGGTGTAGATCCAGATATTCCGCTGGTAGTAGTCGAGGGTGGCAAATAAGATACAGACGTAGTAGTCATTTGTGATGTAGGAGGAACATAAGAAACAGATTCGGTAACTTGCATTGTCGAAGACGAGTATGTACTACTGGGTGGCAAATAAGAAGTTGACGTCGTCTGAGATGGTGCAATGGGATTACCCGTAGTGCTATCAGGTTGAGTCGAAGATTGTATCTCTGGTTTTGAAGATGTTGGTGGGAAAGTCGAGCTTTCAGAAGATTGCGATGGTAATTTGCTTGTATCTGGTCCACTTGTACTATCTACTTCATTCAGCGATGTGCCGGGTTTATCTGTAACTGCACCATTTGCTTGATTGCAATGCGGTACAGCATAAACATGATTGCAACTCTGAATGGACGAATCCCAGACAGTTCCAGCACCACATTGAAAGTCGTATTTAATAAAGGAGGACATGCCATTATCGACACATCGATAAAACTTGCGACAATCTTGTGAATCAGAGAAAAAACCTTCTACTGTACAAATACCTAAAACAAGATTGTTTATATTGATAGTGAAACATCAGTATACACATATACAGTATTTTAGGTTATTATACCTGTTGACGGTTGATTGCCAGGTGAATTTGGTGAGTCTGGATTTCCAGGAGATATAGGAATGTTTGAAGAACCCGGTGTCCCTGGATATCCTGGAGTGCCTGGATTACCCGGAGAACCTGGAGAACCCGGTGTCCCCGGATATCCCGGAGAGCCTGGAGTGCCTGGAGAAGCCGGTGTCCCCGGATATCCTGGAGAGCCTGAAGAACCCGGTGATCCTGGAGTGCTTGGAGAACCCGATGTCCCCGGATATCCCGGAGTGCCCGGAGAACCCGGTGTCCCCGGATATCCTGGAGTTCCTGAACTACCCGGAGAACCCGGAATGCCTGGAGAAGCCGGTGTCCCCGGATGTCCTGAAGAGCCTGGACTACCCGGAGAACCGGGAGTGCCTGGAGAAGCCGGTGTCCCCGGATATCCTGGAGAGCCTGAAGAACCCGGTGATCCTGGAGTGCTTGGAGAACCCGATGTCCCCGGATATCCCGGAGTGCCCGGAGAACCCGGTGTCCCCGGATATCCTGGAGTTCCTGGACTACTCGGAGAACCCGGAATGCCTGGAGAAGCTGGTGTCCCCGGATATCCTGAAGAGCCTGGAAAACCCGATGAGCTTGGAGTGCTTGGAGAATCCGGTGTCCCCGGATATCCCGAAGAGCCTGGAGAACCCGGTCTCCCCGGATATCCTGAAGTTCCTGGATTACCTGGAGAACCCGGAATGCCTGGAGAAGCCGGCATCTCCGGATATCCTGGAGAGCTTGGAGAACTCGGTGAATCTGGAGTGCCTGGAGAACCCGGTGTTCCTGGATATCCTGGAGTACCTGAACTACCTGGAGTGCCTGGACTACCCGGAGAACCCGGAGTGCCTGAAGAAGTAGGTGTTCCTGGGTATCCTGGAGAGCCCGGTCTACCTGGAGTGCCTGGACTACCCGGCGAACCTGGAGTGCCTGGAGAACTCGGTGTCCCCGGATATCCCGGACTCGGAGTGCCTGGAGAATCCGGTGTTCCTGGGGATCCCGGAGAGCCTGGACTACCCGGAGAACCCGGAGTGCCTGGAGAACCCGGTGTCCCCGGAGAGCCTGGAGAACCCGGTGAACCTGGAGCGGCTGGAGAACTCGGTGTTCCTGGATATCCTGGAGTACCTGAACTACCTGGAGTGCCTGGACTACCCGGAGAACCCGGAGTGCCTGAAGAAACAGGTGTTCCTGGGTATCCCGGAGAGCCTGGACTACCCGGCGAACCTGGAATGCCTGGAGAACCCGCTGTTCCCGGATATCCCGGAGAGCCTGATGTGCCTGGAGAACCTGGTGTTCCCGGATATCCCGGAGAGCCTGGACTACCCGGTGAACCTGGAGTGCCTGGAGAACCCGGTGTTCCCGGATACCCCGGAGAGCCTGATGTGCCTGAAGAACCTGGTGTTCCCGGATATCCCGGAGAGCCTGGACTACCCGGTGAACCTGGTTGGCCATTTGGATCTCCAGGTTGTCCTGGTTGACCGTTTGGATCTCCAGGTTGTCCAGGACTACCAATGTCACCATTCCATTGTCCACTGTTATTTCCAGTGTGACCGTTCCATTGTCCATTATTATCCCCACTTTCCAAGTTCTGTCTACAGTCTTTCCTTGTAACAGCCCAAGCGTGATTACATGCTTGAATTTCTGGATCCCAAACAGTTCCCACGCCACACTTAAAGTCGTATTTTGTAAACCTTCCGTAACCTTCGTTTACGCATCTGTAGAATTTTCTGCAATCACAAGTATCGGCTAAAAATCCTTCTTGTGTACATTTTTGGTATCCATTTTGACAATTAATAACGTTATCCTTCGGTTCGTCTATAGCTGGTCGATTTGTTAGTGGTGGTAATATTGTTGTTTCTGGCTTTCTTATTGTTGTCGCAGCTTCAGTGATTGTAGACGGTTTAGTTATTGGGGACTGTATCATAGTTGATTGTGACCACATAGTTGTTCGTATTGTTGTTGTCCATATAGGGGAAGGAGGATCTTGTACATTCGAATCGAGTTCATTCTCGGAGCTGCCACATTCAAATCGACCACTATCTTCTGGATGCGTACAAATGTCTCCCTTATCCTTCGAGAACACTGTGCCTACTCCGCATTCAAATTTGAAGGGCGTCAGCGGGCTACCGTTGCCCCAATCTACGCATCTATAGTAAACTCTGCAGTCACGCGGATCGGGATGGTAACCCTCTTCTATACATTTAAAGGGAGCATTGCTCTGTCGGTATTGGTCTTGATTATACTCGTAATAATCTGCAATACAATAGGACTAATAAATACTCAAATTTAAGTTGATCTTTAATTGATTAAATATTATCGTACGAGTTTTATATACATGTATTAAAAAATTTATCTTGTATTAATTTTTTTAGAATTAAACAGAATTTTCATCAACAATCTAATTTATAGTAAAATTTTGAATAAATTAAGATTAAAATAAAGAAAGATTAAATACATTTTAGTACTTAAATAATATTTTGGTGTGAATTTTTATACATGTTCAGTTTTGTAATTTTTCGCAATAAATTATTTATAGCTTTTTAAGATACTTAATATCAGTATTATTAAATTGTTTGTCAATTTAATTTGTGATATTACTGTCTCAGTTTCAGTTTAAGATTGCATTTTGAAATTGAAAATTATTTCGGCACCCATGTTATAGAACTGATTATGTATATAAATTCACATTGAAATATTATTTACTTAATATTTATTTGTATATTCACAATACGATCTAATATCATTTATTGAAAAAAAAAAAATAGTTCTCACCAGCTTTTGTAAATATGAGCAGCGTCGTGAAAATACTCAAAATCGATCGAACTTTCCACATCTTTTGTGTATATATCCAACTTTATCTACAATCAGAAATATAATAAAATTATTAATCATTATTATATTATAATACAAAAATATACATTTAAAATAAAGGAATAACTCTGACAATACTATATTTCTTGAAGTACAAATTTTTAATGAAGAATCAAAGATAAGTTTCGCAAATATCTTTAAGCAAGTCATTATCATAATCTGCTTGATAAGCGAAAACTATTTTTTATCAATTATCGACAATTAAAGAGTTTTAATTTTTTAATTGAAAGTTTTTTCTCGATTTATTAACCTTTCATTGTATCATATTTAATTATAATAAAATTGTAAGTATAATAAAACATGATCTGAATATTTTATATGAGCATATTTATATATATTATTCACATATAATATTTATTCCTTTTATCCGTTAACAGAACTGTTACATTATTTGCATATACATATAGTATATGTATACATATATATAAATATGTATATATATAAATATGTTACATAGATGAAATCTAAGGAGCTGAATTTTTCTGAAAGAACAGTTTACAATAATTTTAATTTTGTGACCTTTTTATGTTATTTCTATGTGATTAAATAAAAACATGACGTAATCACAATTTATTTATTATATCATATCTAGATTTCAGAAGAAATGTTGGTTTTTTGCCGCACAGTTTATAAGTCTAAACCGTGTATGTTAATAACTATCTTGGACCCTGCCATTTCGAAGAACGACTATCCACTTCTGTTTAACGATTTATCCGATAACGAGAGAACATCTTAAAGCATGTTAAAGCTTCATCAAAAAACGCCATCAAAAAACGTCATCATGTGTATCTTATCTCTTCAACTACCTGCAGCTCTATTGATGAAGTATATGCAGTTCATTGCTGTTTATCGAGATGGAAACTACGAGCAACGGTGAGAAACTGATTGTGAGATCTATGCAACGGGAAACATAAATGCATAAGTCACTATAGGCGATGATATAGAGATACAGTTTATTATTATAATTCTAAATTTTTTGTTAAATGTTAATTACCATTATCTACCATATCTAAACAAAAGTAAAAAGTTTTATTACTAAAAAGAGATATATGCGGAAATATTCTATATAGAGGATAATTTAAACCTGTTTCCATCTCGTTTTATGATCTTTTCTTTTCATTTAGTGAAAAGAATGTTGTTATGTGACAACCACGTAACATCAAATTACGTCTTCTTATAGAGTATCCATAACTTTACCGTGACGGCATGTTCAGATTGTGAATTCATTGCCAATGCCAATCGTGTGTTGCAAAATTTGCTTCATACAATTTATTTCATACTTTTTATAATCTTTAAAACACGTTTAACAGCGTGTTTAATATTAAACTTGATCATTTAATTCGATTTCACGAAAATATTCCTTTTTTTGATGTAAAGATTAGTGTGTCTGGTGAATACACTTAATATTCGAATAAATGAATAAAAAATGATTGAAAATATACATTCGAATACACTCCTTTTTTATTCGTCAAGAAACGAATAAATACTGTTTCATTCCATTTGAATAAATATTTTTTGAATATGATTACGAATATTTTCGTTTCGTATTCACTTTTATTCTGTATTATCTGCACATAGCCTGTAAGCCTGCAAGAGAAAACAGAAATCTATGCGGCTACAATTACACCGTGCTCTTAGTCCGCGACTTATACGATAGGCATTCTTGTTTAATCTATAGGTTAAACAAAGACATTTTTATTGGGAATAAATAATATATCTTAATTTAGTGTCCCTCAGACCATAATGAACGACGCGCCCAAGATGTCTTATAAAGTGTTTATAACATTACAGTGATGTAACCGGAATTATATCGGAATATGTATGGCGCTTTATCAAATAAATATTTATAAATAAAAAATGTATTGCTTTCTAAAATATTTTTCAAAATTTCTAAGTTTCTTTCATAAAATTTGAATACTTCAATGACAAAAATAAATAAAATTAATTTTTTTTTACTTAAAGTCATCAAAGTGCCGATTATAGTTAAAGGATAACGATTGCTTATTACAGCTCTCTTTTTCAGTTTATATTTTGTTTAAATGAATATAAATACTCGTTAAATATTCATAGTTTTTTTGTGAATAAATATTTTTTGAAAAAATTTTGAATGAATATATGATTACATTTTTTTAATATGAAAATTTTGAATAAATACAATTTGGAGCTTAATTACAAATTTTTGTATTCGGACACACTAGCTAAAAATTAAATTTTCTTTAACATGATTGGAGATAAGATATTTAAATTTTTGAACTTTTAATATACTCTATAGCTGATGCGGTTGATATTTTGTTAAATTACGGTATTAAATTAGTGTGAATAACCTACATTATAAAACGGTATGCTTGGAGAAATTTCCGCAGCGTTGAATGAAACATTTTATGGCGCGATGTTGTAGCTCCGTTTACACCGTTGATCGCTCGCTGAATGCTAATCAAGATTATTCCACGTGGTCATTGCTTTCAATCACAGGCATGTTTACAATTATGCGAAAGAGCATGCAATCTATTTTGCATGCTGAACATCAATGCTAGTGAATGCAAAATAAATAATGGATCAGAAAAAACATCAATAGAACTTAACCGCGCTTAGCTTTATACATATACATATAACATTTGCTCTGTGATATATATATATATATATCTATTAAATACACAAATTCCAAAGAAAATAAGCAAAGTTTAATCTTTATTTATAGAAAAAAAATTTTTATTTGTCAATTATAATTTTTAGACTTTATTACACATGAATTTTTTTACAGAGAAATTGTATTTTGTAATATGAGAGTAATTATAACCTTTGGCAATAAGTATTTTAATTTGGTCTTCCCTGCTTATAAAAGTTGATAGAAAACGATTGAAAACGGTAGGATTTCTATCAGTTTATATCGTTTTCTGTAAGCTCTATCGTCAAGGCTCGCCAGCCTCAGATATGAATTCTATCGTATTTTATTGGATTCTAATAGGAAACTGACGATGAAAATTTATCACTTTCTATCGTATTCTATTGTATCTAACGGAATAGCAAAATGACGAATTGGCATTTATCGGTTTCTATCATTATTTAATAATAATTATCATATTTATTTAAGAATAACTATCAATCGCATATTAAAAACAAAAATTAAATCGTTATCAATCTGAAATTCATTTAATGAGTTTCTATCGGAAAAGTAAGAAACCAATTCTATAAGATTTTATCGTTTTATAGCGAATTGAAAAATTTATCAAAATGTATATGAAAAATATAAACGAAATTTTATATATTTCCATCTGACTTTTCAGAATGTCAATACCTACAGGAATTTATCCATAATTTCACTATACAAATGGATCGTTCTCAATCTGCAATGTAGTCACACAATGAGCTTTTCTCTGCTTAAAAAAATCCGATAACAAACTATAGAAATTTATAGAAATCTGATAGAAATCCTATATTATTTTTATCAGAACCTATCGTACCTATCGGACATTAAAATCGCGACAGATAAAAAAGTTATAAATTTCTATCGTTTTATATCTTATATTAAATAAACGATAGAATACTTATCGGAGATCAGAAGCTTCTCTCTCTATATGATACTATCACATTCTCTGACTTAATAAGAAATAAACGAAAGGATGTTTATACGAACCTATATAATTTAATCCAAAAATATGTCCCTATATATCCCTATATGTTTGAATAAGACAAATATTATAGAAAAATTCCCACCATTGTTATATAATTAATTATTTATTTAGGTCATTGAATAATTAATTATTTAATAACTTAATTGTCACATTATGTTGCCAACAATAATATACGACAATTTTTCCATAACGTCTATCTTATTCTAACATATAGAGACATTTCTGTATTATTATCTGATTAAATTATATAGTTTTTTTTATAAACATTATATCGTTTTTATTATATAGCTTAAATATCTTTTTAAACGTAAATTTCAAATTGCTTACCTGCTATATTTGATAAATTTTCTATATTTGTCTATCGTTTTTGTCATACATAGCTTAGATATCGTTTTCAATCTATTTCTATCTGGTCATGATATATTAAAATTAATAATATGCTATCGTGTTTTTGAATTGTAAATTTCAGATAACTCGTCTAAAGTAAGTGACGTATTTCCTTTATTTCAGTATCGTTTTTGTCGTACAACTTAAATGTCGGTTTTAATCAATTATTTTAGTCGTGTTTTATCAAAATTAGTAATATTCTACAATGTCTTTAATCGTAAATTTCAGATTCTGAAATTTACGATTAAATTTTAGATTTTAAAATTTACGAACCAAAAACACGAAAGGATATTATTGATTTTGATAAAACATGACTAGATAGAAATTGATTAAAAACGATATTATAAGCTATATGACAAAACCGATAGAGAAATATAGAAAATCTATCAGATATTTCGGATAAGTAATCTGAAATTTACGAACCAAAAACACGATTCAATCAGATAGAGTTTTTTCCTATCTGATTCTATCAGACTTTTTAAACAGGGCTGTCGTTTATTGTTATGACTAAACGTGCGTTTATTCCTTATTTATCTCTTTTATGGGCAATTAACGTTGTGCAAGATTCCACGTTGTCTATCGTAAAGTATTACAGATACATTTTGTTGCACGGCGCATCGCTGCGTGCATAAAGCATAATGAGGAGCCATTCGGCTGTTACTATCGTTTACTATCAAAGTGTAAACGGATACCCTAAGCTGCGGATATAAATGCCAGACGGTTCGAAGGTGCGCGCAAGTAATGACGGGCTGTTAAGGGGGTAACATGGCTTATTTATAAACCGTTTCAAACAGGTCCACCACCTGCTGCTGCTGCTGCTGCTGCTGTTGCTGTTCCTGTTGCTGTTGTTGCTGTTGTTGCTACTTCGGGGAATTAAATCTAAACGAACTCGCAGCCTGGGACGCATTTCAAGGACAACGTGTCCAGCGTATCTTCGCGGTTTGTCGTGCAATTAACCTGCCTTCCGC